TATATATATTGTTAAGTTAAAAATATGCATATTTAAGAAATGTACGAGTTTCAGTTTTTTAAAACATTGTACTTTATACGGAAAAAGATCAGACGCATAAGGCCAGGATTCGGCCGGCACTGGGGGCCAGATGAAGTTTGAAAGTGCTTGCCTTCGTCGAGCATGTCCATGCGCTATTAGTATCCGCGGGATCGAGTAACCTGCTGCACGTTTTTCATCGTCGATCATTTGCAGCAAGGACAAACTCGATTAACTTGCAAACAAGTTCTCTCCACGAGATTCACCACGTTCGCCGGTCTATCTGTCATTTCTGCGCAAAAGCTGCAAATTTCAAGATTATCTTCGTCTTTTAGGATTCTTCGTAATAATCATAAACTGGATATACAAAAATGAAGATCGCTAGCACATTATTTCTCTTCGTCGTCGTCGGTAAGTAATTTATCTTTTCTTTAAAGAGAGTAACATAGCTGGTGGTTTATTTATTTTGTAAAAAAGAATATGTTGTTTAATTTTCATGTATCTCCATGAAATATAAAATTAAAATTTAATTTTAAAAGATTTTATCAAATTCTAACTGTAAGAGTAGGGACTGTAAAAAAAATCCGAAATAATTTTCTTTAACAACGCACACATACCTCTTTTCGTTCTTCTATTATAATATTTATTATATTATAATTTTGATAATTTTGTGTGAATTTTAAGTTAAATTTATAATAAATAAATTTTTAATTAAATTGTTACCATAAAATTTTATTATAAAATCATACAGCTGCGTTACTTTTAATGCGTAAGATGCATCGAACACATATAAGTGAGAGCAGATATGAATGTGCAAAAGTATTTAAATTACATCGTTATTTTACCACTCGCATTAATATCTATATCCGTATTATTTCAAATTTAATAATCTTTGAAAAATATTATTTGTATGTGTGTGTGTGTGTGTGTGTATTGATCAAGCGATTGAACATTAGCATATGTCAATTTACTTCGAAAATGTATATTTATTTATCAAATAAACGCACGTGCGTAGTTTACATTTATACATTTATACAAACAACTTTGCCACACAAACATTAGAATTCCTATCCCATGACAAAATATAACAATCGTATTAATTGTCTCAATTGCTTGATATTTACGAATGCAGATTTTTATGAAATATAGATTTTTATTAAATATTTTTTTTTTTTCTGATATTCGGAAACATCGGTTTTCAAAAATTTCCTTATGCATGATCATATTTTAATAACGCTAATATAGTTTAAACATTGCTTATCAATTGCTATCTAATATTTATACAAATATTAGAGTATAATAATAATAAGTTACGTTGTTAATTGAATAATTTTGTGATACATTATCAATATCAGAGACTTGTGATTAACATTTAATAATATCTTTTGATAAACATCTATATTTTTGTGCGTTTCTCCAAAAGATTATTTTTTATTCATATTGAATACAAGTTTTTGCACAAAAATATTTTGTTCTTTCTTAACTTTACCTTATTTTTGACATTCTATCTATTGTCAGGTAGGTATTAAAATCCGGATCTGCAATAGGGTCGTATTTGGAAACCGATCGTAAAAACCGTTATCGTTTCTACTGGGCTATTTTAGGTTGTTGGGCCTTTCTCTTATTTTTTTTTTATATTGCGCCTTGTATGAATCGCATAATTTTATTCTGTGCTATTGACTCCGACGTCTGTATCTTGTAGACTTGACTGCACTACTCACGCTCGATTAATTGGCGTATTTCTTTCTTACTGTACTAATAGCCTCGTTTCTATCTATTAAAGAAGTTTCTCGCTCTGCGACAAAATGTACTTGTAAATATGGGTCTTCGTGAGCGGTGTATTAAGCGTGCATTATATGCCCTGCGGAAAACTCGCGTTATATTTACGTGAGTCGCGCAAAAATAATTTTCCGTAATTTTACGCTACTGTTTGCGATGATCTGAGCGTGACTGTGATGGTTACGCATCGTGAGAAGAGTAGCCGGACTTCTTATGGGTCGATACTATAGTGCGTTGCACTCGATGCATCATCGTGATGCGTCAGAATTAGCACGCGAAGGGATGTTGAAAATTTTAACTTATTCTTATGCGGAAACTTTTTTTATTATTTTTGCGACAACAAAGTATGTAGTTCTAATCAAGATCAATCATGTTTAAAAAGAACAATAAATGACGAATTAAATTGTTTATATAAATATTACAAATAATATTTTTTCTTATAATCTTCTAATCAAAATATTTGTAAATAATAATGTTAATATAGAAATTTTTCTGTACAATATTTTTATATAATATAATATGTAAAAAATAAGCATTTGTAAAATATCTCTCAAATATAGCCTTATGTTTCGAAAACGCATGAAAATTTATCTGGCTAAATATGCGTAACATTGTAAATTATTTATCTGAGAGTTGTAAAGAAGAAAGTTCAAATTAGTCGATGTACATATTATATATCTAATCTGTGTACATAAAATGTAAATAATGACAAATCTATAATTACCCACGGCTTTTCTATAATTAATATTGTTTGATTCTTTTTTGCATATATTATATAAAAGGTTTAATAATATCATGAACTGTTAATTTTGCGATTCATTATTTTATTCAATGAGATAACTAACACATGATAAATTGAGAGAGAACTTTACGCAGTGTCAATTCAACGCAGTGTTTTATCAATGATAAAATGTTAGGAAGACAATATCCAAAAACTAGCGAAAAGTTGCAAGATTCGATTTGTATATTACTTTTTATTTTTTTATATATTTTCAATTATATCGACAGACATGATATTATTCTATATGCATCATTTTTGATATTAGTATATTAGTGTATCAGAACATACGAAAATACATGTTGGAGAGTTAATAATTTTTCAATGATATTTCTACTCTTTCAATAATACTAAAAGAAGTTTAAAAAATATTGCGCAACTGAATTCTTTACAGAGCATCATATGATTAAATGTGTTTCAAAACAGGTTCACATAACAAAACGTTTTTTACGCGATAGGTTGCGTGCGTAACAATATATATATATATATATAATGTATGGGAGAACGGAAAGAACCGTGTAAAGAAAAGTATTATCATTGATCCGTTCATTGATGCAAGATAGAAAGTGTGAGAAGATCAGGTGCGTTCGTCGCAGAATGTAGAGTGGAAAAAATAGAGCAGGACAACGACGAAAGTACGCAATTTCAATCGTTGGACGATTGCGATTGAAAGTGATCTAAGAGAAAGGGATTGTAAAGCCGTTTCCCTTCTACAAATATAACTGCATATTATCGATCGTTCTTATAAAAGTAAAGAAAGAAGGAGAGAGAGAGGGAGAAAGAAAGACGTCTTGGTCGAGGCTTTTATGAAAGACATGATGACATGCACATCTTATGTGCCACAAACTTGTCATGTCATATAATGCATAATATCGTTAAATTAAAGATGCGCGAAAGCTTTCTCCACACGATTATCGGAAAAGTGGCCTTTATACTTATATCTAATACTAGGATGAATAGAAAAATAAGTATATAAATTTGTTAGAATTCTTCAGAATCTTGCATTTAAATAAATCACGTATTTTTTTCTACTGACAATTTTTATCTATTTTACATTGTACACCAATAAAATATTTTGCATATTTTCAAGGAGTCTATATTACAATAGCTACTATTACCTTTAATTAATTTATAATTAATAATTTATCTGTAATTTATCTATAATTAATAATTTATCCATAATTAATAATTTGTTTGATATATATTGTACATGCAACCGATTGTTTATATAAGCTCAATAAAACGGCACGTGATACAATAATAAGAATATATTGCTTCGTGTATGATTTTGGAAACAGCAATGTTTAGTCGAAAATAATTTGAATTCCTTCAAAAAATGAACAGTTGCTTCTACCGATAATCTTTTTACCAAGATTCATGAAACACGTATTTAGGGAATTAGGCCAGCGTATCTATGTAAATGTCATCTTTTCGCATACTTTCTAGTCAGTTGCGTCCATCAATGTTGTTTGTGCCGATTGGACATCAGTTATTTATTATAATTGTAGAAAAAATACATTTTTACATATTTTATCACATATATTTCAAACACAATATTTCGTAAAAATATTTTCCGATGTTTACTTAATAAAAATATTTACGATTTGTTTTGTATCACAATAAGAAAAAAATAGTAATAGAAAATAAAGAATATACTCTACAAATGTATGGAGAGTAAAATGATCTACTTTCCTCTATCGAATCAATTTTGTTGATCGATGATCGCGATCAACAGATCATTATGTACGCTTTAAAGAATCACTGAATGTTCATTTTATCGTCGAAAATTGCTAGTATTTGCGAGAAGAGAGATTTTAGTATTACTTTCTAAATGTTGAAATGGTGATGTATCGATTTTCTCCTCGTTCTATCTATAATCAGGATCCGTTCTTATGATAGCGCAAAGATAATAGAGTAACAATGTAGAAGTGGCTGGAGCAGTCAAGGTGAAGGCCAGCCTTGGGAAAGTATGGCCGCAAATACAGTTAGCTAGTATACGAACATTGTTATGACCTCCGATGCGACGAGGAACCCGGTTAAGCGAAGAAAAGTGAATATCACCATTATTCGTAAGATCCTGTATAACTCTCAAGGATTGTATCGTGACTCGGTTACATCAGGCATCTTTCAAGAGCGAGAAACGGTGAAAGTACACGCACGATTTGTACCGCCAAAAGTCATCGTTCTCATTTTGGTTATTTATTACAAATGCTTAGTTTAACACGTAAAATGATAAATTCCTATGACGAAATCTTGCAAACATATAAATTATTCATCTGAATTATCGTGTATGCAGGATGAGCAATTTATTTTGTCGATGTTTTTTCTATATGTTACTCATAAGTATGTTATATTATTAAATATTGAATTATGTGGTAATATTATTTTATTTTTTGCTACAATATAATATACATAATAAATAAATCTATATGCTTTCAGCATTCTGATGAAAAGTTGTTTTGAAATAACTAATGCGAAGAACCTAACTAATCACAGATCGTAGTGAGATTTCGTCGATTTAGTTTTTTTTGCTTGTCGCTATCACATGAATGATGTACACGCGACATGTGATTACTGGTGGTTTCGAAAAAAGAGTTTACGCCTGTTTGTCGGACTGGAACGGTGAAATTTCTATTCAAAGATAATTTTCTATATTACGAAATATCTACTTGTTTTCCGGAGTTTCGGTTGTCATAGTGCAATACGATTGTATAACAAATTCAGAGCAAGAAAAAAAACCATTTATAATAACGAACTTCGTCAGAAGAGAACGAAACAATAATAATATAATAATACAATCCGACCCGTTGTAATTATTAATGTAATTTGTACACTATGGCAATTTATGTCCTCTTCCGTACGCAGCCTGTATAATATTTTTCACAGTTTTTTAAATTCCCATCCGGCTGCATTTAATTGAGAAGAAAAGGGACTGTCGGCTTTTTCAGGCTTGCGAATAATGTACATATAATTGATGTATAATTGATTGTTATATTTCTTCTCCCTGATTAATAGATTGTTTAACGACAAAGAATCTACAAAGATTCACGATGAATGTAATATTGCTTTGAATAATAAAGTCAAAATGATAAATGATCATGACTACTACATGTTCAAGCACGATAGTGATTGTATATCAGTTGAAAGACAATAATCCAAGAAAAATTCGACGTCGAGAAGAAAACAGTTTAGCTATACGAAAACCATGTAATACGTAGCGCTCGGTCAAGACAGAACGTTTAGTCAGGTTTCAAGTGGGTCACTAGGTCTTGGCCCAATGGCACGCCTTGAATCCGGCAAATATTCTTTGAACAAATTCCGGTAGTACCTTTCATTAAGTTTGAAGTGCTCGTTTCGCAAGATAAGAAAACTTTTGTAAAGCGTGCTTTTAAACTGCATATTTCAGTACGCATGTTTTAATGTAGTTTATTGAACTAGATAGTGATTTAAATCGTCATATAAAGTGACATATATTTGTGTTATTTATTTGAAATATTTAATAATTAATAAAAGACGAGCATAAATCTAAATATAAAAGTAATTATTTCTTCGAATGTGATAAATACTCGTACAACGTGCAATTATTAACATATTTTTATAACGATAAGAAATATATTAATATTATCAAAAGTAGAAAATGCTACTGCGAAGTGGAAGTCAAGTTGATGGACAATTTAATGGTATTTGGACAATCTCTTGCAATGATGCTTAAACAAAGAGAAAACGCATGAATGTAAATCAGTTATTATTTTCCTGTCACGATAATTATGTGACGACAAAGCTATTCATCTCTAAAATAATCTTCAAGAAAAGAGATTAAAAGAAAGAAATTAATATAGATAATTTAATTTATATATGTTTTACAAAACATGATTTACTATCAACTGATATATTTACACCGTCATTAAATAAATAATTGTTTTTGGCAATTAAAAAATATTTTGATTAATTAATAATTTATTGTGCACGAATAAAAAATATATTCTAAAAGATATCCCAAAATATCGGTATCAATAATTTATTAAAATTATATTACATATAAATGGAATTTTTTTTTGTTATACATACAGAATCGATCACCTAACTTATGCTTGTGTGTATGTGTAATACACACGCAATATAAAAAATAGAAAAAAAATAATATAAATTGCGGATTATAGAGTTCTCTCTTAAATAAACATCCAAAAATTCATATTAATCTTATTTGAGATTATTTATTTGATCAGATAGATACTATATATACGTGAAAATATATATTTTTTTAAAAACATTATGTTAACAGACGTCAAAGAATCAATAGCACAGAATATGCGTGCTCTGCTCGCTTATAAGCATGTACTCTGATAATTCAGCATCATTTTTTTTCATTAAAATTACATTTATTTTCGTTACTTGATCATTAAAGTAAAATCTTTTTCATGTTTTTTTATATATTTATATATATTTAATTGTGTT